CAGTACAATTTAATATGTAAACTTTACATATCAGCGGATTTTTGGAATTTACTATTAAAAATTCCAAAAATCTTTAATGATATAGAGGTTGGACCTGTTGAGAAAATCTCTACCTGGGTATTATTAAATTACCCGGGTTATCCAGGTAAATTATTATGTATCATATAGTACAATTTCTACTCGAGTCCAACCCCTACTTCCGGCCCATTTTCGATGAAACAACTACCAAAATGTTTGTCTCGATAAGACGATTCTGATGAGCCCAAAACCGTTAAAACCCAATCACAGAATTCCGAAATCGATGGATATTTGTGTCACTTCAGATGTTTTAGACTAATTCTAAAACATCCGAAATGGCAAATCATTAATGTTCGCGGGATCTTGTGAATGTGTTTTGATGATTTTGGGCTCTTTAGAATCATTTTATCAAGGTGAACACTTTGGTAGTTATTTGTACTAGTAGATCGAAAGTTATTCACATTAAAGATTTTTGAAATTTTTAATAGTAAATTCCAAAAATCCACCGATATGATATAAAATTTTATTGATTTGTTTTAAACTATAGTAAAACAGAAAATACCCCGCAAAGATATTTATTGGATTCCAATATTCAAATCAATACCAATATTAATTGCAGATATATTTATATACTACAATTTAATTTTTTCTTTTACATAATATATAGTTATTAAATTAGTATATAAAGTATACTGTACATATAATGACCTAACCGATCAATTAATAGAGACTATACCAACTCTAAGAGTTTTTTATGCGTAAAGCTAATAATATATAAAACATGACTACTATTATATTTAATCGATCCTTATCTAAAACCAAGTACTATTAAAGTGTAACATAGTTGGAGATCATAACTTACAATTGACAATTTTAATATTAACAATTATCTGAAACATGCCTCATAACTAAGATAATATAGAATAAGCGCATATAACCGTTTTTATGCTAATTACTAATAAAAATTGTAAAAAAAAAATTACCTGGGTTTGGATGATCACTGAATTGAAAAAATCATAATAGTTCTTAATGTAGTTTTAGTAGTAGTGAAAAACTGTAAAAAAAAATACTAACTGGGTTTAGACGATCCTGAATTGAAAAAATCGTGATAATATTCAATGTAGTTTCAGTAGTAACGAAAAATAATATTTGGGCTTAGGCAACTCCCGAATTTGAGAAAGTTATCATAGTGTTCATTGTGGTTTTAGTAGTGGTAGAATGTGGCGCCAATTGCCCAGGAGTAATATAGATTTTATATTGAGAATGTAAAAAAGATAGGATAAGTAAAGAGGCAATATCAAAATGGAAAGCAACAAATAAAACTTACTTTTGATATAATAATTAAGACCTTAAATATTGAGAAACCTAAACAAAAAATATGTAAGTATTTTTATAATTAAAATTAATTTTTAAAAAAAATAAATTAAAATAAATAAATAAATAAATAAATATTAATTTCAATAATTTAGACAATACCAACAAAATGAATCTCGAAATGTATTCAATACTTGCTGAGATAGATGGAACAGGAATCCCCCTAGCTTATATGCTATTAACCACGACAACTGTACTTAATGATGGAATTCACACAAAAATGATAACTTACTTTTTTAATCAACTACAAATTAAAGGAATTAATCCAAATTTTGTAATGACAGATAAAGATTTATCACAAATATTAGCAATAAAGACAGTATGGCCAAAGGCTCAAATTCAGCTTTGTTTTTGGCATTTGAAACGAGCAATAAAGAGACAACTAGCATTGTCCAAAAAGCCAAAAACAATTCGGTATTCTCCATACAAAGCAAATGCTGAATTTTCATTCATCAATCTTGACTTTTATCCGAATATTAACTTGCAGCAACCTGAAATAGAAGAGTCAAAATCACAAGGCAAAAAGATAGTATTTACCTTTTGCCCCCCAGAATGCCGAAATAATATCCTTGATCTTGTTACTAAACATTTTAATCAACATCCTCTTATTCCTGCATATAATAGGCAATATTATTCTGCAGACCAAATTTACGAAGCTGCTGTCCGAGAAATTTATACATATTGTAAAGATAATAATCTTCAATGGACATGGTCATATTTATGGGTTGAGTGGTATTGTTTGTCCAAATGGCCTTATTGGGCACGTAGTGCAAAAAAAGAAATTTCAGTATTAAAAACTACTATGATTGTAGAATCGCACTGGAGGCTAATAAAGCACGATTACCTATATAGATTTAATAAACCTCGTGTTGATCTACTTATATGGATTCTTGCAGAATGACTTATCCCACGGTATATTGTTAAAATGGAGCAACTAGAATTAAATTATAAAGCAAGAAATGTGGTATCGTGGCGTACAGCTTTCAAACAACCTGAAAAGCAAATTTAAAAAAAGCATTAAGTAATAGTTCTTATGCAACCAATCCAAACACCTGGACTTGCTCATATGCTACTTATCTTAATAACCATTTTCTTCTTTATAAGCACTTAGTGCAATCTGTCTGACCACAAAAGCCAAGTTTTTTTAATGAGGTTAAACATTACAGATCTCCACCTTTTTGAAGGCATGAAGATTTAGTCCCATTGGTGCAAGGTTTAAATCCAATAAATGAATTCGACGAAGAAGATAAACCAATAGAAGAAAATAAGTTTAGTGAATTGGAGGAACAAACAGAGAATGATGATGAACAATCAAATGATGAAACTGACAATGAGCTTATAGAAGTGCTTCAAGAATATGAGGAAGATGAGGCCAATATTAGTGATATTGTTGCTGAATGATGGGATGAAGTTAATAGTCGTGTTACAGAAAAACTTCAAAAGTGGAATAATCTGCTAAAAAGTCAAGATCAATATAAAGATACACGATTTTTATTGGTGGCAGAAGAAGCAATGGTCGGAATAGAAAAAATGCTAATGAAATGTGAAAGAATAAAAAATAGAAAGACCTTACC